ATTCCTACAAGGGCTACAAGGAAGGCACTCACCCACCCTCCTGCTCAGCCAGAGCCGACTCATCTCACCACCACCACGACCTCTGGCGTCTTCCCCCCCCTCCCCTCCCTCCTCTTCATACCTCGACACGCTTAGTCTCAACCTCATTTCTCTCTCTTTCCTGCCGCTCTGCTAGTGCCCACCCCTCCCTCATCTACATCTTCATTTTCAGAAATTTTCACTTCACCCTGAGTCGACGTGCCATAGTACAGCTCAGATCACCAGTCATCACGGCATCTCCACTCCTAATCTTGACAAGTCCGGCGTCCCTGAACAATCCCTGTCACCTGCATCGTACTGTGAGGAGCCGACAAGCACCTCGACCCAACCTCCACGCTCGGGCGCGTCAAATCTTCTACACCGACCCAACAAATCCGCAGCCCACTCTTCGACGGGGAGCCACCAGCCAAGCAGCATTCGGCAGAGTAAAAAAAAAGGTTACCTGCAAAAGCTTCCCCTTATCGGATATATCCAGCGTGACCGGCAACGAGCGAAAGTGAGGGAGAGAAGACTCGGAGAGCTCACAGCAATGCCACACCCGACGAGACCACCTGCTGTTCCTCGACCCTAAGAACCCCCCGCTGCTCATGGCTCCGACGCCTGACCCTCGCGGCGATGCCCTGGCCGCCCTCATGCCGCCGACGTCACCCCATGCCCACCAGGATCCCGCCGCCTCGCTGCGCTGCTGCTGTGGCCACGACGATTGCGCCTACCTCAAGCACAGCTGCGATGTTCTCGATACCGTCGAGCAGGATGTCCATACCGCCGCCAAACTTGGTCAGGTTAGTTCGCTCGCGCTCTCCTTCCCCCTCTATGCCTGTCTGCGAGCCATCACGTCCCGCCACACCATCCTGGCCAAGACCAAGCACATTCCAAGGCCACATCCATGCGCCGCGTCTTCCTTTGTTTGCCTCGACCGCGGTCCCAGTATCACCGACTCCGCGCATTCCTCGAGTCGTTCCTCTCGAGTCATCTGGAATGTTTCTTTTCTTCCCCTTCCTATCTCTTTCTTCTAGCCCGGCACGCCCATCACCTCTCTTCCTGACCGCCCCCTTGGTTTGGTCTCGCTTTGGCGCCTGTCCGTGTCTCTCTATCCCGCCTCACCTCACCTCACCATGTTGATATTGGATGCCGCTCGTTGGACATGTCGCTGACCTTCTCTCTCCAGGCGCTCCTCGCCCGTCATGAGGCCTACATGGCCGACGCCGAGCGCGATCGCCTCGAACTCACCGCACGTATAGAGCAGCTCGAGACGGACAAGAGGGAACTCCAAGCCGACAACGCCAGGACTGTTGAAGAGAACCGTGCCTTGCTCGACCAGCTCGAGACCCTCAACAACTCGGTCAACAGCTCCGATACGCGCATTCAGAGCCTCGAGGCCACCCTGCTCTCCTCTCAACAGGCCGTCCGCCGTCTCGAAGGCGCTGCTGTCCGAGCAGCCGAGCTAGAACGCCATGTCGCCCTCCTCGAGCGCGAACAGATGCAGCTGCAAAACACCCTCATCAGCACCGAATCAGAGTCTCGCTCCGCCTTGAACCGATGGAAAAAGGCGGAAAGGGGCATCACGGAGCTGCAAGAACAGCTGGAACGCATGGAAAAGGAAACCAAGGACGAGCGAGAGCGCCACGTCGAGGCCATGGGCCGCGTCGAGCGACAGCGCGAGATGGAAAAGGAGCTCAACACGGCAGCCGGCCGGCTCAAGGGTGCTGCTGCGGCCAAGTCGCTGGACAAGGGCAAGAACGGCAGCAGTGTCGTGTCCCACTTTGTTCGCGACCTGCTGCAGGACAATGCCAATTTGCAACTTGGCATGGCTGAACTGCGAGAGCTACTGACCAACTCCAACGACGAGATCCAAGCCCTGCGCGACCAACTCATGTTCCACCAACCCGTGGGTGAGGGAGAGAGGGAGGGAGAGACGAGCACGGCTTCCACGCTCCGCGCCGAGATGGAACCTTCGCAGATGGAGGAGCCAGGCACAACGACTCGACTTTCTCAAGAACTCCATATTCATCACCACTACCACGTGGCATCCAAAGGCGACAACAAGAAACCCAAGAAGAGGCGCGCCGGCCTCACCCCAGGCATCTTTACACCCCCCAGCGGCGCCTCGACGCCCGTCACGCCCTTCCGAAACCACCCATGGCGGCTCTCGTCCCCCGTCCCGCCAACCATATCAACCCACGGACACCGCGACTCGACCTCGAGCCTCGCCGCACCGCCCTCCCACAGATGGTCCATGTTCTCCGAGCAGCAGTCTGACTTTGCAGCCTCATCGGTACCCAGCTCGCCGCAGTCAACGAGCCATCGGTTCTCGATGTTTGACAAGTTCCCCGACTCGGACTTGCCCGCATCGCCCACAACTAGCGTGGACCCCATGTCCCCAACGATGAGAGCGACACATCTCAAGCGCCCGTCCGAAGTGTCGACGAGGAGTATATCGATGCCAACAAAACTCATGATCGCACCGCCCGCCCCCACACTAGAGGTCACTCAACATCACTTGGGCCCAGAACCTATCCGTGAGGAGGTTCACGAGGACGACACTGACATCGAGGAAGTGCCAGAAATCGTCACGACGGAGGAAGAATACAGCTTCTCCACCGACGAGGAGCAGCCACAGCGCCGGCTGCACCGCGTCATATCTCACGAGTCCATCATGTCCCTTGCTGGCGGACTCGACATTCATACGCTCAAAGTGCGACCTAGCCAGCTGACGCTGCGCCCTCTTGGCGGTGCTGAGGCCGTCTTCACCGGAGTAACAGCATCCTCGACCATTTCGCGCGTGACCACCAAACGGAGTGCGGCTGTCTTGCGTGACAGTTTGGCCGGCCTGCCAAGCCAGAGGGTGGTATCGACACCAACCCGGAGCCTGTCCCCAGCGAGTACACTGAACGAGGGCCAACGCAACACGGCCAAGCCGGGCCGATGGACGAGCTGGCGGCCATGGGGCAGCGGTGGCGGAGGCGGCGTTGCTAGCAGCAGCAGCACCAACAGCACCCCGAACGATCCCGAACACTCGCCGACGCCTGCTCTCACGCCGACGCCGACCAACAGAAGGCCGATAAGGAGAGGGACCTCCACCGGCGTCCGGCATCAACCAGCCCGGCGCGATCCCCGGGAAAAGGGTATTTACGAAAGCCGCCGCAGAGGACGCCGAGCAAGGGAAGCCTGAGGGGGAAAAGAAAAAACAACCGCCAGAATCTAAAAAAAAGTAGTAGTAGTAATGTAGGACAGCGCTTGATGGTAGATGATGAACTTTCCTGCAGCTGCATGGCGTCTTTTTGCATATTTGCATTTTTTCCTACATTCTTTTCCGTTGGAAACTCTTCTTTCTCGCCAGGAAACAGTCTCGAGAGGAACAGACTATCCGGGCGTTGGTTTTATTTTTCCTTGTTCTTATTTCTTTTGAACCCACAGGTCAACAGGCCTTCTCATGGAAGATACCCCCCACCGAACGGAACTGGCGTGTTCTCTTTTGTCTGGATTGCATGGCTCAGAAACGGAGCGATTATCACAAAGGATAGGAGTTTCGTGTGTATACACCCCCTCTTCCACCACCTACTTCTCTACAGCTGCTCTTCTTGTTTTTTTTTTCCCTCATGCACTGCCCAGCAGCATAATTTACGGGACCACGAGCGTCATGATTTTCAGTTTGTTCAAGAAAGCTTTGGTTCACAGACCAAGTAATTTTCATAGATCATTACAATATTATCCACATATACTGTGAAAAACGTCCCATCCGCGCACCCATCCACATGGGACCCCCCCTGCCTAGTACGATAAAGCGTAGACCTGACCTCGGAGCGAGGAAGAAATCATTGTTGTCCCTTAAAGTACCTATTTTATGTTTCTCGTTACTGCTTTTTCTTGTAATAGACCTTGTCGAGGTCCTCGAAGCGCCCCGCGGGTGCGGGGAGCATCTGGTAGACGTCGAGGGATCCGTTCTGGAGCCGCCTCGAGCAGCTCCTTCCAGTACTTGTGCCACGGGCGCCTGGCCGTTTCCGATGAGACGCACGCCGCGCTCCATGAGGGAGCCAATGTTGAAGTGGTTCGTGTAGCCGACGTACACGCCCGTGATGCCACAGCGGCCAAAGCTGCGCACCGACTCGATCATCTCGTTGACAATCTCCGACGTGTCCGTCTCGAGGCCGAGCTGAAGCTCGAGCCAGTGGGCCCAGCCCTTGGGGTACTCGCCGGCGACACACTCGAGGGCAACGTCGGGGCCGCGGCCGTCGGTGAGATCGCGCAGGGCGGTGACGACGGTCGGCTTGTTGGTGACGCCGTGGGACAGCGTTTTGTAGTCGACGAGGTAAAGCTTGTCGGCGTGTGCGGCAGGCCAGCGGGACTTGACAAAGGAGAGACGGGGTTCCGTGTCGACAAAGATGACGCGCTTGGCGCCGTCTTCGAGGGCAAAAACACCGGCCATTTGGCCAATGGGGCCAGCACCGAACACAGCGACGCTGTCACCCTCGTACACGGCTGTGTCCTTGACAGCGTTGTAAGAGGTGGACAGCACGTCAGACAGGTAGAGGGCCTTCTCGTCGGGGACATCCTCTGGGATCTCAAGAAGGTTGACGTCGCCAATGGGCACGCGCACATACTCGGCCTGGCCGCCAGCGAAGCCGCCCGTGAAGTGAGAGTAGCCAAACATGCCTGCCGTCTGGGTTCCGTACATAGCCTTGGCCTGGGTGTTGGAGTTGCACTTCTCGCACTGCGACGAGAGTTTTTGACGGCAGAAGAAACAGTCACCGCAGGCAATCTGGAAGGAGGCTACGTAACGGGCGCCCTTCTTGATGCCCTTCACGGCGGGACCCATCTCGTCGACGATGCCACAGAACTCGTGACCGAGGATATCACCCTTGGCAAGCTGGACAACGGCGCCATGGAGGAGATGCAGGTCGGATCCGCAGACGGTACTGCCGGTGACGCGGAGGATGACATCGCGGTCCTCGATGATCTTGGGGCGGGCTGCGTCTACAATCTCGACCGTGTTCTTGCCCTGCCACACCAGAGCTTTCATCATGGCGGACTTGTCGCCCGTCTTTTCGTAATTCGAAATGTCCTGGGCCGTGACCTCATCGTCCTGGTGGCCGATGGCCTGCTCTGCCGCATAGGCTGCCTGTGACATGGCCATATTGAATGGGTTGTATTTGGGGGCGCTGAGATGCAAGATGGTACAAGTGCTGGTGAGGTATCGTCGGTATATCGGGTATCGCTAAGGCTCGATTGTAGCAAATCAGATGAGTAGTACTGCAACAGTTGTGCGGAAATCACGAGGCATAGCAGCAGCCGACCCGACAGTTATAGACATGATGCGATCGCAGTGACATCTCCCCCAAGAACCGCTCCTAGAGGGGTCATATTCTTTCGCGACGTCAGAACTGGTAAATTTGCGGGCACCGCGGTCTACAGTCGGCATCTGTGGACTCGCAATGGCTACACGTGCGAGGTGTTGCCGCAGGTTGTGACCGCGTTGTCGCGTCATTCTCGAGATGGAAGATTCCCACAAGAGGACGAAACCCGATGGACGACGTCATGGATCCCACGTGTGCTCCACGGCGATCCGGTGCAGGACGGGGCCACGTCCGGAGCGTTTGGTCCTCTGGTGCAGGGAGGGCATCTTCGGCCAACCAGAGGCGGCAAGGCTGAGGTGGGCAGGTGTTGGGGAGGAGCAGTTGAGTGCGCGGCATCTGGGACATGCTCGCCGTTTGGTTCGGGCACAGTTCGTGATCGTCTTGGGAGGTTGTGCTCTGGATGGGGTCGGCGTTTTATGGTGACGCGTTATATTTGGGCCTGCTATGCATGCTGGGACCGTACCGGCTCGATGGAAGAAGCTTCGCGGGCCAGACATGCCATCATGTTTGGTGTGGTTGAATTCGGAGAGTGGAAGTTGGCGATCGACTGTCACATGGGGCATCGGACTTGTGAAGCTGGATTGTCCATAGTCACGATGGACGTGCTCATCGCAGGAGGACTCTGACGGGATGAGAAGGGCAGCATTATAAGCACATGCAGTCGGCAGAAAGGAGGATTCATATCTAGCAGATGACCGGTCATCTTATGTCTTCAGACGAAGCCCATCAAGGTTGCGCCGCTTACACTTGCCTCGACCTCATTCAGGTTCAACGGGGAAAGTGAAGCCAGGCCACCAGAAGAGGGTGCCCACACAGGAAAGAGCTACGCAGCGTGGATAGACGGTGGGGTAGACGCTGACCTAAGCCCTTCCCCCAAATGCAGTCTGTTACAGGGGTGAGGGAGATGAGAAAGCGCTGTACCTGTAACCCCCCTCCTCCAAGCCATGAGGGGCAGCCGGGGGAAGCCTCCACTCTTGCCCCCCCCCCCTGGTAGCGTACCCCAACGCGGGCGGACCCTGCCTGTTCCTGTCACGGAGGCGGCGCCTGGACCTTTGTCGCATCCCAACCTCCGAACCGCCCTTCTCCAACTCGATCCAATATGGCAATCCGGAGCATCAAGCGTCCGCAAAGGACAACAAGACCTTACCGTCTGGGACACGGGCCCGGACGTTCAGGAACACATGATGGCGACAGCTAATAACAAGGGGGGGGATTTGCTCGGGATTTCAGGTCTCGTCTGGTGATGTCTAACTTTCCTCCCTCCTCTCTCTCCTCTATCCACATCCTGACAGTGCTTTTACCTGATTCCCCTTCATCTCCCAG